AACGGAACGTCGTTGTACGACTAGGGGCCGGTACGGCGTAACGTACGGCCGACGGACGTTTCTACTTCGGTCGACTTAGTTCATCGCTTCGTTACTTAGGAACCTACCTCTCTCTCTCTCTCTCTCTCTCTCCCTTCTTATGAGATACCCCCACTCTCTATTTGTCTCGAACTTTCATGTTTTTTAGGGAAATTATCGTAAATATATTTTAATTTAAATTTAATTAAAAAAAAACTTTAAATTTTTGTTTATCTTGTCTGCACCCTTTTTTTTCATTTTCGGTTTTTTTTTACCAAAATGACTCTCACAGTATTACCGTAATACTTAAGGAATTTTATACGGTACTTTTAGTACCATAATACTGAAGCCATTTTATATGGTACTTTAAGTACCGTAAACTTACACTAACCCTTATACGGCATTTTAAGTACCATAAACACTAATCTATGTTATACGACACTTAAAATGTCGTAAACCTGATTCCGTTTATCTATTTCATCTTTAATTATTTTTATGTTTATCTATTCTTTCTCTATCTAATTCTTTTTAATATTTATCTCTTTTTTTTCTCTCTAATTCTTTTTTATCTCTTCTTTCTCTCTCTACAATCTCATCATCATTTCCTTATAGAGAGTAATCAAACACTGACTTCAGCTATACAAAACAGAGGACATGATCTATCTAAGGAAACGATGATGAGATTGTAGAGAGAGAAAGAAGAGATAAAAAAGAATTAGAGAGAGAAAGAAGAGATAAATATTAAAAAGAATTATAGAGTGAAAGAAGAGATAAACATAAAAAGAATTAGAGATGAAATAGATAAACATAATGAGAAAATAATTTACAGCATTTTAAATGGCGTATAAGATGGGTTAGTTTTTACAATATTTAAAATTTCGTATGATGGGTTTTAGCTTTTACAATACTTAAAGTACCATAATTGGCTTTTCGATCATGGCCAGAGTTTTACGGTACTTAAAGTATCATAATATTACTTGAAGTTACTACGGTATTTAATATTACTTGAAGTTACTACAGTATTTTAAATACTGTATAAAATGATATGTATTACGGTAGTAAGAGTACCATAAAGATCATTTTGGTAAAAAAAAGCTGAAAATGAGGAAAAGGATGTAAACGAGATAAACGAAGGGTTGGGGTTTTTTTTCCAATTAAGCTTAAATTAAAGTATATTTGCGATAATTTTCCTCCTTTCTACTAGGGGTGGCAACGGGTTGGCCACCGGGTTGAGTCCACCCAGACCCAAACCTGAATAATATTTGGATCCCGGTTTTGGACCCGGATTTGAACCCATACCCGGACCTGTCGAGTCTTTGTCTCTAGTCAGGTCCATTGCCACCCTATGACTAAAAGCTTCTTCTTCTTCTTTTTTTTTTTCCTACCATCATATACTCATATTATTGCAACATTTACAATATTACACAACATTTATGAATACCCACATATACCCATATTCCTTATTGTTTTATGTAATAACTGAAAATTCCTAAAAAATAAATGTATCGGGACCATTTATGAATACCCATATAACATATACCCATATTATTCGGGTCGGGTACGGCTGGACCCGAATAGTATTCAGGTCCAGGTTTTGAACCCGGACCTTATGTTCCAAAATTTAAATCCATACCCGGATTCGAGATGGGGTCTACCCTCTGGTCAGGTCCATTGCCACCCCTACTCTCTACCACAAGAACGGGATGCCTTTGTCATGCGATGTATCAAAAGAACAGAACTTCCAAGCCTTCGGCAGCAGTGACCTGGTTCAAATTTTGCAGTTAGTAGTAACTTGGTTTAACCTTTGTAGTCTTGTGTGGATAGGCTTATGTAGCCTTGTGTAGATAGGCTTATTCTTTACAGAACACTAGCCATGTAAATCAAATTATGAATGAATGGAAGTACAAGTTAAATTTCGAAGACAGGAACAAAAGATGCAGCTAGGAGCAGGTATATGCATGGGGAGGCAGGATTTTGAAATTACCGCTGCATGCCTTAGGAGAGCCTGTGATAAGTTTGCCAGTTCTTTCATAACCAGTGCCACTTGTAGCGGTTTCACCTAGACAAAAACGTGTTCTTTCCCTTTTCCAAGTCCCTATTTTTTGAATAAATACGTCATATTTTATTCCCAAAATGTGCCTTCCACGATTCATCAACACAATCTAAGCTTTATCATAACTATTTGGAGTCGGTTATACAACTCCTAATATTCTTATTTCATTTAAATATCATTTTTCCTTTGTCATATATTTTTCATGGATTTGTTTCAGTTCCAATCCAACAACCACAACAATTTGGAGTTGGCTATACAGCTCCCAAGACTACGATTCCTTATTAAATATCATTTTTCCTTATCATATATTTTTCATGGATTTGTTTCAGTTTCAATCCACCACCACCACCACCACCACCATCCACTTAGGTATTTTATTGAACAAAAATGGTGCTATCGTTCCTCCATCGATCAACAATATTGATTCACGAATTTTGATATTTGGTAAGTATTATGATCATCTAATAAGAAAGGTTTCAATTTGTTCAATGAACCATTTGAATACCTATTGAATCTAACAACTGATTGCATAATTGATCATTTGGACCTTTCAATTCATAGATGTGGATATTAATATTAATTGCTTCCTTTTATTTACAGGTAGCCTTCAAATCCAATTAAGTCATGAGTCTACAACAAGAGCTTATGCTATTTTTCTCTAAAAAATTGGATAAATTATCACTATAATAGTGCTTTAATTTTATGAAAATCTTACCTTTCTCAATACATAAATAATGTACAAACATATCCATCTGAAAGGCTTAGCACTTATGACCCTCGTATCCGTGTCAAACATCAACCTAATTTCCTAATCTTCATAAATAGATTAGATAGTGCCCTAATAGAGATATCATTGACTTGCTCATGGACTTAATCTAGGAATGCACACTCGAGATGACTAAGATGTGGTGATATCCACATGGATGCTTGGGCACTTGATGTTATGCATGGCCATAACATACAATATTTCCATACATGATTCCATACAATATTTCCCTTGCTACTGTGACAATCTCCCCCAATTTTACTGATTGTTTTCCAAGTCATTCTAAGAAAACAAATTTAAATATGAAAATAGGATAAATTTCAATGAAATGTGAAAAATGCAAAACTTTTGAAGACCTTAAAAGTTCAATGCAGAAAGGATGGAAATTCTTTATCCTTTTAATAATCTTATTTCACTTTTTTCTTTTTACTCATTTAGTAGTAACTTTATCAGTTCTCTCAATTTCTAATAAAACCCTCATCTTTGAAAGAACTCAAAAAATTTCATTGACCACGGCCCCCCCATCTCTAACTATGAATGATATGACATGCCTTCTGAATACAATAGAAATAAACTTTGAACAAAGCCATCTAACCAAAGAAAAGTGAGCTCATATGTGTAGACCTCCGCAGCTCAAAGAATATGAAAAAAGGCAAAAAATAAAAAATAAAACAAAATAAAAAATAAAAATAAAATAGAAAGTCCATATTGCCTGTAAATTTAAAATCCAAAGGGCTGAAAACTACAATGTACAAAACTAATTGAGGAAATAAATGAGAAATCAGCATAGCAAAAACTGTGCAATAGGAAATGCATTTGATCAGTCCCGATCGCACATTACAGATGAGCAACTGGTATATACAAAACAACACATTGGAAACAAGATTAAAGAAAGAAAGAAAGAAAGAAAGAAAAATTAGTATCAGAAACTTTTCCAATAGATTAATTTAGAGACTCCATGGCACCATACCCATCCAACCCTCTTCTATGGTAATATTGTAATTTAATAGAGATCATAAAAACTACATATAAACTTGAAATCCTTACAAAGACTAGTTAACAGAACATAAAAACATACGTCGTCTCATTATTTCTTTTCATAGGCAGCAATGTTTTGAGGTTCACACTCAGGACTAAAAAGGCGGACCAGAAGTGCAGTGGTTGAGCTTACGCCGATTGCTCCAGAACCTGCCCACCTTAGAGACCTTGGAACTGTTATTCTGGGACCTGCATTCAGTCCACCAACCCAAGAAAATATATCATTCCCCAAATGCATTTATGATGGTCATAAGAAAGGATTCTCAGTCTGATATTATCAGTTGGTTTTAGAAAGTATAACATCCGGTTATTTTCTATTTGGGCTCATTGTTAGCACTCGCAAGCAAAAAGATGATTGCATACTCAATTTTCTTCTGATAAGTGAAGTAACAGGAAGTTTTTTTTATATATGGTTTCACTTGAAAATTTTGTGATATCTCTAGCAAAAATGGAAATAAACAAAGAAGGTATAGACTTACAGAATGCAAAAAAAAAAAAAAAAGTAAAAATAATTTTGTATAAATTTTAAAATGAATCTTTTTCGCTTTCTCATTTTGGTCACCTCTCGGTGACTTTTTGTACCTCTCTCTTTCATCAATACAATGTTAACGGTATCAAAAAAAAAATTAAAATGAAATTTCAAATAAATTGCTCCTAAAACTGCAAATTTTTATAGGCATTACAAATAAATTGTTCACTATAAAATAATCATAGCAAAATGAGAAGTAAGGGAGAAAAGAGCATCACATTAAGGAAGATATCATCTAAACAAAAACATATGATATTCTAGAGAAATTTTCAAATAATATATACATTAGTCATGGGATTGTATAAGACCATTAACCTATTTACAAGAAGGTCTGAATCATCCCTAGCCTCAGATATCAAGTCAGGCACCTCGCATGTGTCATTTCTCCACAGAAAGTTCAAAAAAGATTTTCTCAGATTGAGCAAGGTCAACAGCAAGCTTCCAGCCTGCCCAATTGCACATCTGATGCGTACGGGTGATTTTGGCCTTCCTAAACCGAAGATAAACGGTCTTATTATATACCTTCCCATTAGTTACTGGGTTTGGTTGATCCATATGACTTCTCACCCCGGAAAGCAAATGAATTGATCTTAAGCACTTGCAAAGCTCGCGTGCTCTGTACTGTGGTTTTAATTCAATTTCAAAAACAGATAGAATAGGACTAACCATAATGTAGTCTACAAAGGGTCCAGAACCCTAAAGCGCCACCAACACTAAAAATAGCAGCTGTGTGCCTCATTAGTCGAGAACACGGTTTTGCATCAGATCTCGACAGCTCACCATCAGAAAATCCAAATAAACGCCTCAGAGCCATCACTGTAAACCTCTAAAGAACTTCCTGAGCTCATAGACACAAAACATGTAAACAGGAAATCCTCACTTTAGATTAGATAATATTACCATTACATAAAATAAGCCACAGATAATGCAATATTGCAGATAAATCCCTCTAGTTTATAGCTTTAAATTCCCACCGCATCTTAGGTAGTAATGAGACACCTTTGCAAGAATCAAGAGATGATTAACTAGAATTAGCCTAGTGTGCAATTTATGAGCTTTTGCCATTTCAAGCACTTGGAGAAGCAACTAACTGGTCCATCAAGGATCAGCTATCTTTTTTTGCATCTGAACCCCCATAATAATTTCTTTCTAGAGTTCACATTGGAATACTTTTGCATTTGGGAAGAACTGGGAGATTTGTACAAAATTAGCCCAATCTTCATTCAGAATGTGCAGATTTCAAAAGATTCCCATCAACATAAGCTCACCCCCTAACTAAAACATTGAATGTGGAAGAATTACTGGAGAATAAGCGCGCCTATAACAAAGAAAAAAAGAGTCAAGCTTGAATAAAGAATTTCTCCAAATTAACATGTAATAAGTAGAAAGTTTAATACAACCAAATATTAGGGCAACTTCATTAGTCTTACTATGTCAATGTCCAATCTCTATAACATGAATATGCACTGACAGTCTAAAAAATAATAATAATGGCTCATTGTATCCATGGAAGCCCTTCTCTCTAGAATTAATCCATTACCTCAACTTCAGCAATCAAAGCTCGGTTCCACTTTGATTCATGTCTTTAATTATCTAGTTCTCCTTTTTCCTTTTCTCCTTTTGTGGCTTGTTTCCCATGAGTTTATCAACGCTAATAACTATAATTATAAGTAGTGTTCTGAAATACGACTCAGCCAAGGTACTCGGACCATGGCTGAGGCGAGTTACTTGGATTGTACAGTTTTTTAAAAAGAGACAAAAACGAAAATTAAAGGTTATATAGATATACTTTGGAGAACAGTTTCAAATGGAATAGAGTGAAGGACCGGTGATTCCCTGTGTGTATAGATGAGAAGTCTTAGGTTCCACTTCACTTGTTGTCAAAGTTTTTTTGAGCCCGCCAAGCGCAGGGGTCGTACTCTCTTACGAGAAATGTCCAGTGGCATGCTGGTTAGTTTGCCGCCTTTTTAGATGCCCCTTTGTATATTGTCTCATGTTCGATCCTTGTGACAATGACCTTTTTTTTTGAACTATGGTGGGTTGAAAAAAAAAGAAGAAACTAGGGGCTAAAAAAAAAAAAACAGAAATGTGCAGTGGTTGCCGTGGGGAATCGAAACCCAATCAAAATGGCCCCTAACATGCTAACCAGAACGCCACCCAGCATTTTGTTGTCCCAGAAATGACAACTTAACTATATAAACTTAATACGAGAGGCCGAGTAACTCGGCTGAGTCCAAGCGACATCAGCTGAGTCTTGAAACACTGATTACAAGACTAAAATTCCCAGAAACATTTTTTCAAACACATTGACAAATTCGACTCAGGGAAAAAATAGTTAAACCCCATGATAAAATTACTTATTGAAAGACAATAACAAAGAGTTCATACACAACTAAAGGAATGAACCCTAGCTTCTGGATCTTCTATGAAAAATTAGAAGGCTGGAGAAATAAGTGAGATACTATCTGGCCCAAAATGTAAGGCATGATCAATCTTCACTCAGTTTCAGAGAAATTATTTTTGTTTTATCCCCACTTAATCACAATGTTTCAGAAAAGCAAATGATATATATATATATATATATATATGAC